GTTGCTGAGATGAAAGTGGGTGACAAAATGCACTCGCTTTCTGAACACACACACACACACACACACAAATGCAGACAGCCTCTCGACAATATGCGTTTTTGCTGGCTGTAGCAGCGTTATAGCGCTGCCATAGCGCTGCACAGCAAAAACGCATAATAAAAATAATCAAACAAAAGTCGGCGCACTTTTCCAGTGGCGTAAGCTTCAAACTGGTGATAACGCACAACAGAACTGCCGGTGTGATCAGGCGTTTTGTGCATAAGCAGTAACAGAGATGTGCACGGTGTGTCTGAAACTAGGTCTTTTGAAACACGGATTAATTTTTCACGCGTTTTGCGCTGTATAATAGCAGCACAAGACGCAGATGGTCACGCCCCTGTGTGTGTGTCCGAACTCATTTTGTTCTGTACTTTCGACTCGGGAACCACAAAAGCTAGGAGGCTGAAATTTTGCTAAAATGTTCCCCACCCATATGCGACCTTGAAAATTTAAATTCAGCCTTCACGCGCGCTCAGGTACCACGTATGATTCCGTGGAAGTTTTGGCGTGAGAATTATTATCGCCGGAACCACGAAAGCTAGAAAGCTGAAATTTTATAGTAATGTCCCATACCACGTACGGCCCCTCAAGTTTAAATTCAACTTTCTTATGCGTCTGGTTTCATGTGCGGTCCGGTGAAAGTTTTGGCGGGAAAATTGTCGTCTTGGGGACCAAATGAGCTAGGGCACTGAAAATTTCAGGAGAATGTTTTCTGCCTATGCGGGGGCCTCATAAACTCAAATTTAGCACCCAAGTATGCCGAGGTCTTACGTACGAATACGTGAAAATTTTGGCACGAAAATCGCCCGAAAGCCAGAAAAAAACGAGATTGACATTTTGGAAGGAAAACAGTGAAAATCCTTTGCAAGCGAACGTCCGTTGAACAGAACTGCGCGAAACACATGATCGCACCAGTTTTCCTGTTGTGCGTCGCTGTTTATCTGAAACATGAGCTGTCTTTCTGAGACATGAGCCGTTAATTTTCAGATCCACTTCCTTACTCCATGCGCTGAGCTTTTGCAGCATCTTGTTGATTTCGTGAGGGTTGTCAGCAATAAGAACTGTGCCATCCGCGAAGCGTGATTTAGTTGCTTGTCGCTAATCTTCAGGCCAATTTTCCAATGCAATTTCCAAAATACCATTTCGGGACAGGCCGCGAAAAGCTTGGGTGATGCTAGAATCACTCCTTTCTCGGTCGTATGTGAATATGAGTGGTTAAGAGTGTTATATCTGTCGAACAAGCTATGTTCTTCGCATGCTTAAAATTTCCGCACAGTTTCCATTAACCCCTCCTTCTGCGAGAGAGGTAGCATAGAATTCAGTTTCAAGCTGTCTTATGCTTTTTCGTAATCGACGAATAGGAGGTAAGGAGGAAGTGGTATTCTTTTATACGTCTCAGCAACTGGTTTAGGGTGAATGTCTCTCTATCGTACTGTAATTACACCGGTTCAGCTTGTTCTCTTGGCTGCTCTTCATCAAGAATCATTTTAGTTGGTTTTTGGTAATCCTCGTGAACAGCTTGTAAATATTGGAGAGTAAACAGATGGGGGTGATAATTCCGCAGATCTTCTTTATCGCTCTTTTTATGCAGCAGAACCATCTTCGACTCTTTTTAATTACTCGGTATTTTTCTTCCGGTCAAATACCGGCTGAACCGAGTGACAAAAGTTTTACGTTTGAGCTCTCTGGATTTGACTAATTCGATATCAATGCTGTTTTTTTCCGGAGTTCTTTCCACTTTGCATCTGGGGAGCTGCGTAACTCATTTTGCGGATAAGTATA